ACGACGCGTATAGAAACAATGCTTGGCGATGTTGCAGTTGCTGTCAACCCAAAAGACAAGCGCTACGAAGTAAGCTGTCGAATAGATGACGATGTAGGATAGCGATGTGATGATGCTGCATATGGTTGCGTTTGTTCTATCTTCAATACTTAGTCCGATGCTTGTCTATTGAGACGTTTTTGTCTGGTTTCCTTTTAGCATCTCGTCGGCAAACGCCTAATTCATCCGTTTTTCCCTGATCGCGATATTCGCGTGGTTGCTGACGAACACGTTGATATCGAGTTTGGAACAGGCGCTGTTAAAATCACTCCAGCGCATGATAGAAATGATTATGAAATTGGAAAGAGACACAGTGAGTGATCGATGTCATCCATCAGCGTAGGATTCCATCAACGTAGAATCCCATTCTCGACTACACCTCACTCACTCCTTCTCATCCCATATTGTTATCGATCCCGTAGCTTACGCCATTATTGTTGGCTCCAATTCGATTAGACTCTTTGATCCTGTTTGTCAGATCTTCCATGCATTAATGTCTTCACGTTGGACGGAAAAATAAACGAGAATGGAGGAGAATTTGCAGGAATGCCATCGATTCCGTTGTCGCGTTGAAATGAGAAAAAGTTGACGGAATTGAAACTGATGGTCGATAAACTTCCTAATGAGAAAAAGATGCAACTCCCTCGTTGCAGTAGAAGTGATGATGTTGTCGAATACATGTTGATTCCTCAGTGGTGGATGGATTGTAAAGATGTTGCAGGAAGAGCTGTTGCGGTATGTCCCAGTATCTCTTGTGTATTTTTCGCTTCTCTTTTTTTTACTTACAGTTTCTCTTTTCTTTACTTTTCAGGCTGTACGGAATGATGAACTCGAGATTGTTCCTTCCCATCACAAACAAACTTGGTTTTATTGGCTTGAGAATATCAAAGATTGGTGCATTTCTCGTCAATTATGGTGGGGTCATCGAATTCCAGCTTATCGCGTTCTTGTCCCAAATGAGGGCGATCAACCTCAACTTTGGGTTGCTGCGAGATCAGCTGAAGAGGCGAAAGAGAAAGCGACAGCAAAATTGGGACATTCGAATTTCGTATTAGAACAAGATGAGGATGTTTTGGATACTTGGTTTTCATCTGGATTGTTTCCATTTTCTGTAATGGGATGGCCTAATGACACTCCAGACATGCGGGGATTCTTCCCAACATCATTACTTGAAACTGGTAATAAGATGATATAGATAGATTATACAGGATGAGACTGGGACAGGCCTATTGTTTGTCCTTTGTTACCCCATTTATCCCTTATCTGTCTCTAATTCGGATCAAAATCATTTATTTTGATTTCGAATACTTGTCCCATTCTTGTATCCCTCATACTTGTCCCATTCTTCTTTTTCAGGACACGATATTCTGTTTTTCTGGGTGGCTAGAATGGTGATGATGTCCCTCTTACTCCACGATCAACTTCCGTTCAAACAAGTTCTTCTGCATGCACTCGTTCGTGATGCTCACGGGAAGGTATACAATTACATATTTGCTGAAAATGGTTTCATTCTTCTAGTCCGTCAGAAAATGTCAAAAAGTTTGGGAAACGTCATTGATCCTCTAGACGTCATCGAAGGTATCACTCTCAAAGAATTGAATGAAAGACTTCGAGATGGGAACCTGCCGAAAAAGAAGTTGCACGAGCCATTGAAGTTCAGAAGAAAGATTATCCAAAGGGAATTGAAAAATGTGGTGCTGATGCTTTACGGTGAGAGGGGCAACATGTGGGAATGATGGGATACCACGATGTATGGGAATGTCACTCCGGTTTTGGTATTGGTTTTATTGTCAGTGTTCGAGTGTAGGTATGGTTTACTGGCGTATACAAGTCAAGGTCGCAGTATTAATTTGGACGTGAATCGTGTTGTTGGTTACCGCCACTTCTGCAGATAAACTGTGGAATGCGACGCGATTCGCTTTACAGAATTTCCCAATCTGAGTTTCATGCTCAAGGCTTTCAACACGAACGCTTGCAATGGCCCGACAGTTGGATTCTCCATCGCTTGTCTCAATGCTGCAAGTCAACAAATGAGGCTTTGAGTAAATTCGACTTTGGTGAAGCCGTCAAAGCAACATACAATTTCTGGCTATACGAATTATGTAGACGTTTATCTTGAATTGTTGAAGCCCCGTCTGGCTAAAGAGTCTCGCGATCGAACTCCTCTGGAGGTTTTGTTTGTCTGTTTGGATTCCGGAATTCGCTTGTTGCATCCAATGATGCCATTTGTGACCGAAGAACTGTTTCAACGACTTCCACCGTCGTTTTCCCGCAAGGAGTCCATCTCTATTGCTGACTATCCTCAATCAGTAATTGCGTGGATGAATCCCATGCTCGATGTATGTTGACAGGTTTGGGAAAAGTCTTATTCGTGGACTTGTGATAGTTCATTATTTTGGCAATTTTTGAATTGATCCACATGTTGGTTGATGTTACTCGAGCGTTGTGTCTTTCCCAGTTTCATGCTTCTTCATTGTTTTCAGGATCAATTCAATATTTTCATGGGAGTCGTCAAGCAATTCCGATCTCTCTGTGCGACCCTTGAAATTCCTCCTTCAGTCAAACCAACGGGATTCATTGGTCTCGTTGATGGGAACAGTGATTCATTGAACGTTGATTCTTTGAACTGTTTTATTCGCGCTCGTTTGGACGAGATGGAATGTCTAGCGCGCATCGGAAAAGTACGTTTTCAGACCGCATACGTTCTCGCCAGTCAGAGCTAACTTCTTCTCTGTGTGCTACTTCCCCACTTGCTGGTAGTAGAGGCTGCGCTGGCATCACACATTCATCCCGCGCTGCATTTCCAATGAGTAACGGCTTTTTCCATTTTTGTAGCTTACTGTCGGGATGGGCACTTCAGAGATCACAGATGTCGTCAACGATAGAATAACAATCGGACTAGATCCTGATGGAACTGTTAACCTTCCTCAAGTTCAATTAAAGATACAAAAAAAGCTTGACGCAACTCAAAAGCAGATCGAGGGGTATCGTAAGAAAATGAGTATCCCGAATTATGAAGAAAAGGTGAGATCGTAGATACGCTGTTGGGACAGTTCAGGTGTCGTTTTTGTGATATTTACGGTTCTTTAGGTTCCGGCCGACGTTCAACAGCTCAATGCGGACAAATTGGATCAATTCCAAACAGAAAGGGAAGCTCTTCAACGCGCAATCGAAAATATTAGAAAAGCGATCGAAGCAGGAAACTGAAAATGGCGGGGGAGAGAAATTGATTTTGGATTGTGTCTTTTTTTTGGTTGAAATAATAAAGATGAACTCATATTGACCAGGTCTCCTGCAAAAAATAAATCTGCTCCACAATCTCCTTGAGATGCCAACTTATGGGATCGAAGAACCCAAAAACTCTTGAAAAATTTCCCTTGGATCGATTCGACAGGGACAGATTGAATGAAGGTAATTTTGTTCCTTGATGCGCAATTGAGGGACTGACACTTATGGATACAAATATTCATGATGATTTTTTCGACTTCATGGGTAACATGAAATAGAATGCAATTATCGACTCTCAATCCACATCCGGTTTCATCGGAACGTAGAAGCTCTTTGGGACACGTGAGTTTATCAAGCTCAGAAGATGTTCCTTGCACTCCGGCGAGCGAACCGGATGGTCACATCTCGAATCGAGAAAGCTTTTACAGTTTACCGGTCGGCCCTCAGCGTGTGGGATCAATTGACGGAACGGATTCATCAAGAAATCTCCGACTGTTCCGTCAATTATCAAAAAACAGATCGAATGCTCGCAAGCGAACGGAGTCGAAAGATTTCTATATTCCATTCAACCGCAAAAGTCCCACTGTTTCGGATCAATGTCCCAATAATGTCAACCAATGTCCCAAACCTCCTGTTCGTACTATAACGTCAGATGGAAGTGCGTCGCGAGAGGATTCCCAATTTTCTCAACAATCATCAATTCATCGATATCGATCGTCTGTTTTTAATCGAGAGGCTCTCAAATTGCAGGGACAAATATTGCGCCAGAAAGTCGTTCAGTCTGCTCACCGCTTCGGACAGCACTTTGTATCGGACCCGTCCGCGCAGCAAGGACAGTATTACTGGAACACTCCGGGAGTGAATGACTTCGCGACTCCGAATGTCACTGAAGTCCGTCGAACACTTCTCCGCAATCACCCGAAAGATCTCGGCGTTATTGCGCCTCCCTCGTTGGATGATTTGCTTGAAGTCGCCCGACAGAAAGGAATCTCTGAAGCTGTCGTGCAGAGATGGACGACTGAGGGTGTCCGTTGTTGGCTGTCGTTCCATTTCGACCTTCACGGCGGAACAGCGTCAGAGGTAACAGTTCAGCCAGAGAAAAAAAGCCGATGGAATCATTTTTTGGTTCGCCGGCGAACTTCGCTCTTTTTTGGTCATCAGTCAGAAAATCGACATCGGAAAGGAAGCATGTCATCTATGGATTTCAACACATCCCGCGACGTGTCCCAAAATTATGCTTCAGGACGTCGATCGATGTCGTCTGACGCTTTTCATGCCGCACCTCGTCCGCTGAATGCGCTGTGTCCCAGAAATGTTAATCCCCCCACTGGAATTCTTGAAAGTCATTCAAGTCATTTACGGAGGCCCGGTTCTTTCGCGAGTGGAAGATCGGAGGCGTCGCTAAGTCCTGACAGTTCGCGCGTGTTCCTTTCTAGCAAGTCGTCAGAATTTCCGGAATCGATTCTTCCACAAGATATCACCCGCTGTGCATGCAACACCACGCTTGATGTCCGCACTCGACAGTGCGGCCATTCCCCCCCGTTCCGTGACGAGCCTACCTTGCGACGTACGCCTCCATCTCGATCATCAAAAAAAGAGACGTCGCCTTCTCCCACTCCATTGAGTTTCATCCAACTTCAAGAAAGATGGCAAAGGGGTGCCAATTCATTCGGATTGAAGAGGGTTGAGATGGAAGAGGGTGAAGCTTCCGTTTTGGGAGATTCTGGAGTTCAACTTGTTGATGACTCTTCTGTTCCTCTTGTTGAACCAAATCAGGATCCAGAATTTGGGCCAGAATCATTTCCAGTTTATAAAACCACAAGGTAGGATCCCATATCGATTGTGCGCATCACTCAATTGTCATGTATTCCACCATCAACTCATTCCCACTATTAATCATTTGATAATTCGCACGTGTATCCCATCTGTCGATGATAACAGTGTCATGACTATTTGAACGAAGACGGAGGGTCAAAAACTCTTCTCCGTTTTGATCCGTGATCGTATCCATTACGTCTATCCCATCATCACTTCATTCAAAATGTTGAAATTTTTCCCTTTCACAGAGCAATCCGTGGTGGCGCTCGGCGTTGGGACGAATGGGGAAATTGTTGGATTGCACGACGTTATTCGCTTGTCGCCCACGCGGCTGCTGGAACATTGCTTCTCTCCTTAGACCTTCCTGAGAATCAACTCTTGGCCAAGCAACGGCAGCATGGAAAGGGGACAGATCAGAATTTGAATGAATCTCGGCACGGGAGGATCCTTACGAAGGGAACGCGGTCTAAAGCGCTCGGGTATCAACGAGCAGCGCTGAATGAATGCTCTCTGAAAGCATTGAACCTCGATTCTATCGAACACATCGAACGAGTTGCTTCCGTCCAAGATTGTGGAAATCGGTCGGACGCTATTGGTGGTATTGCATGCGTTGGCATGGCAGTCGGAATTTCAAAGAGATTGGAAGGAGAAACGAATGAACGGAGAAGTCAATCAAAACGTTGGAGAAGACGAAAGACTTGCCCTCAAAGGAATTGTTTTCAAGGTGAGGAGTGGTCCGGGTTCGATTCCCCGGCTTATCGTTCTTCTGAAGGCGCGACTATTAGAGTTTTAGGACGGTGTTGGGTCTCACGGTCGAAGAGGAATAATAATAATGATAATAAGCTCAATTCTGGGAAAACGTTCTTTCATGGATTACGTGAAGCGAAGGGTATGATAAATAGATGAATATGATATTGATGATGATGGATGATATTGATGATGAATGTGATGTTGATGATGAATGCGATGTTGATGATGATGATAGGTCAATCATTTGAAGTTGCGCGTGAGTTTTTATTCTCCAAAGACGACGATCAGCTTTCAAGTCATCAAGGAGCACATCGCGGCCAACTCGTTTTGCTCAAATTTTCTCATCCTTCTTCGTTCTGTCTTGTTGTTGTGTTTGACAGCCCAGTTGATTGTGACGAGTTTCTTCATGTTGTCGATCTACTCAAAGTCTTTCGGAGCATCTAATCTTTTTTTTAACTCTGTATGAATAGCTTTTGTTGCACAGCGAGAAAACATGGACAGCCAACAGTTTTTCAGCACTATATTGAATCAAAGAGCAACCGAGGAAAACCTGACCTCCGGTCAATCCCCATCACGATGCATATTCACAAGATTACCCGCTGTGGTCTTAATGAAGTTTGCCATCGACGATTGCAAATGTAAATGGCATGCAAATGACCGTGGGTGTCGTCTTGTAGTTCCACATCCGTAACTACGGCAATGATACTCCAAATGCGCGATGTGTGGATTGCAAAATTGCTATCCAAATGACAGAATTGACAGAATTGTCCTTCACAAGAAAGCCTCCGATATCAAGAAAATTTTGTCCCTTTTTTTCTTTGCTGCAAGATCTGTATGTAAGGGTTGCCAAGAGGGCAGGCCAGTGGTTAAGATTTCACAATACTACAATCTAGCTCTGTTTTAGTGGAATCAACCAACTCAAATCATTCGCTTTACCTGACGCAACTATACTTCTCTAGCTATCATGAGGGCCTCTTGAGATATATTCTGTTCGAACAGAGCAAGACAAAACGGTCAATTGAATTCCTAACAATCCTGAAGTTGAGCAACGTTACATTAAAGATTTTTATGCTGGTCTAATCTCGCTCCATGGAAACTGTCTTGAACAGTCACGAGAGGCCGAAAACAGCCGCACTGGCGCTGGTAGTTTCCTCGGGGTATGGCGACACACCCGAGTATATGGAAGTTCCACAACGACAGAAAAAATGTTCAGCGTTTTCCAGTCGAGTTTAGACTCACGAGCAAGAGAAAAGACTGTCGTATATGATCGCAGTATTATGCTTGACCTGCAAGTTTAATACTGAGTGGCGTTTGAACAACTAGAACTCTGAGACCGAGAAAAAAAAATCAGGTTCTCCACTAAAATGTTTCCTTTTGCAGAATTCCCGTCACCTCATCTAACACGAAGTATCTGATTTTTCTGCCGCCCGTACTCCAGATGTTCGCGATGTCATTGCACTCCTCCATCACGTACCAGAAGATTGCACCGTGAGTGCATCACAATCGGATTCTCAGACGTTGTTCCGCCCTGGGATGGCGAAAAGGAACTCCGAGCGAACGTTGTCGCTTTTTTATCCAATACTGAGTGTGATTTTGAATTTGTTGGTTTGAGTGCTTCGAAGGGCGAGACAGTTGGTTGACAACAGCATTGGACTACCAGATATTTTAATCACGCGTAAGACCAAGCCATTCTTCGAAGGAGCTCAAGACTTACATTGTCACAATCATCGATCTCAAACAGAAACTCTCGGAATCAGACAATCGCCAAATATGTATCAGGAATGAGCGAATTGCTTCATTCCAATTTCATCGGACTATTGTTGTAGGGTTTATAACAGATGGCGTCAATTTGATAACCATTGTAACATGTCCGGCTAAAGAAAAGCACTACCAGCATCAGTGTTCGTTTTCCCGAACTCCTTTGGATCTGATTCCCTCCATAACAAAAATTCTATCCATTTATGATCTAGATCTGTTTAGCTGGAAGCCATATCCATTGCAACAGGCTGCTGATATTTGGTTCGTTGAAGTTTTGGAATACTTCGACAATGAATTCTCGCAATGTGTAAAAGTTGCATTTCCGGGACGATACACTGATTTACAGTTTTTTCTTATGGTGGCAATAGACTAGAGGTTGAATACTATGAAGAGTCTGCAAGGCAACAGCGTGTAAGTTTAGACGTTCTGTTGCTTTGTAGGATTCTCTCTTATAGGACGCTACGGGAGAAATCGAGGTGCTTGCTTCAGTAAAAAGAGGACCATACGGCGGATTATTGCTTTCAGTCGGAGAAAAGGTTGATTGGCAGAAATCCACAAAAATCGATGCAATAAATTGCATGAAGCAGCTACGCGCAGGTAAGATGCTGCAGACTTAGTTCCTCATTTATTGGATGTCACTTCCTTGCAGGCCA